TTCTGTTGCCGTCTGGCAGACGTTACCGCAGCATCCTGGCAAGGACAAGAAGATTCGGAGACAGTTTCTTCCCGCGGGCAGTGAGACTGTTAAAAAATTGAACTGTTGAAACAACATCAAACATTCATCTGCTACTCAGTAGTATGTATCTAATACCTAATATATATATATATCATTCCAATAACTTGTATATAGACTCGTACTGCACTATTCCACATCATAACTTTATTTCATTTTTATAACTTTCATTTTATAACTATTATTATTTTTGTAATGCTCATGCTCTTATTGTTATTATGTTATTATGTTGCATTGTTGGAGAAGCCTGTGACATAAGATTTTCAACTGCATAATTACTCTGTAGCTATGTCAGATTGACAATAAAGAACCTTGAACCTTGAACCAGTGAAGAATAAATATATTTATAACTAGTTCCAGAGGTAGATAAAATAGCTAAGTGTGTTAGGTCTAACTCTTGTGTGTTTTGCTCCGCTCACCGGTCCGTCACAGCGGGTAGAGCTGCAGGATTTCTGCTTCACACACGTTGCAAACCGCTATTTTATTGTCATTTTCGGACACCTTAAAATACTGCCAGACTGGTGAAGCGATTTTGGCGAGCTTGTTTTGCCGCACACAGAGAAAAGTATCATGTATTTTACGTCTCGCGATCGGCCTTTTTAGAGAGCACCGCTCGATCGGCAGAGAGTGAGTATCGGCCGATATCGATCGCCACGCAAAAACTGCAGCATTTTTACAGCTCCTTATGGGTAATGCAATTTGTGAAGTGCTTTCCTCTGTGGTGAAATTATCAGCACTGCATTACGGAGGAAAGCGACAGAAAGTCGCCTGGAGTTAAAGAGAGCGGGGCTGCATTGCGTGCGTGGCTTCCTTCTGCAGGTAACGGAGAGACGCGCTCTGGCGGCGGTCTCGTTCAGGATCCGAAAATAAAATTTAAATATTTTGCACACTTATTCCACTTATTCCTAGTGTGCCACTGGTTACGGTGCCGCATGCCATTGGTGGCACGCGTGCCAGGGGTTGCCGACCCCTGGTCTAGACCAAATATTGTCTTCTTAGTCAAGTTGTCTGGACCACCCTCAACCCCAATGCTGATTCTGACAGGGAAGTTGATGGTATTATTAATAAGGAAAATCGCACTTGTGAGCATAGCAGGCAGATTGTGGGCCAATTACAGACTGACCATAAACAAGTGAAGATGTATCTTTAAGATCTCTCCTACGAGCTCAACGGTTAATCTGTAACATCAACTGCTCTCCAGACAACTTCTGCAAAAGCTGACGTTTTAAGCTAGCGAAAAACGTTACGAAACCCCACTTTACAGCTGTCATTCTGCAAGATGGGGTTGCAAAACAAAATGCAGATATAACTTAGTACATGTATTATATCTAGACAAGTAATACATATCCAAAAAAAGTAGTAATTCCTGCTGGGTATTTTTTTTCATACAGATCCAACAAAACAAAAAGATATTATTTTACAAGACTGTCCTTCCCGGGAAACTTCAGGGTTGTTCCCCATTATTGTGACGACTGGGAGCAATTGCCTCCCCAAATCATGGATTTTGAATATCCTGGGGTTAGGGTAATTGGATTGCGAAATCGACAGGTGAATTGGTTTGGCTTCTGTAGTGGTGGGAGCGTTGCACTGGACCGTTGTGGGGAATAGAAAGCTAGCTTATTCTTATTTTTATTATTGCACTTGTGTTTTAATACTTGCACTTTCACTTTTAAATGTATTTTATGCATGGTTTTAACTAACAGAACTATAATCACTTTTAAATTAACCATTTTAGATCCCCTTCTCATTTAAAGGGGACCTATCATGCAAAATGCACTTTTGTACGTCTTTTATACATGAATATGTGTCCCCGGTGTTCCAGGGAACTCACCAAGTGTCAGAAAACACAACCCTCTCTATTTTCCTCCATACCCAAATCTCTAAAAAATAAATTGGGCCAACTCTCCACCTATCAGGGGAATGTGGGGTTGGGCCACAGCCGGCCATTGCTGCTCGAAAGCGCTGGAGACGCTGTAGTACATATGCCAGGCCTGTAAGTGGCGCTGTAGTCTGCCACAAAAGCAGCGAAGAAGACTTCCCGCCCATAGTTACCATGGTTACCCTTCTGTTTATTCTCCGCTGTGGCTTTTTTTCTCCCTCCCCGAGGCAAGCGTTTGCTCCCGCTGCTTTAATTCAATGCAATCCCTCCCCGTCGAGGCAAGCACTGTAATTCTCTCCGGTTAGTCCACCAGCAGATGACAAACACCCACCTCTCCGCCTCTTCCAAGGAACGAGGGGACCGTGCGGCAGAGTTTCAGTTTTAGTTACTTTCGCCGGTCAAGATGTCCGTTAAAGTTTAAATCTTGCGGACAAAATTAGAAAAGTGCCGGTCAAAGGTCTTCTTTGTTATTTATTGAGCTTTAAAACAAATGAATAACGACTCTATATAATAAAACACGGAGGACGGAGATCTCTTTTTCTCCCCCTCTTCTGACAGCCCAGCAGCTGATCAGAGCACGTCTCCCCTCTCCTGCAGGGGGGCGTGGTCAGCAGAATCAGACCCGTAGACAGCAAACAGCACATAGAGCGAAATGAGGCATGGCTAAAATGCATGATCTGTTTGGTATTTTGAAAACAGAAACGTATAAATATACCTTATATAGGTATGGCCCTACAATATATCATTTAAATATAGCATGATAGGTCCACTTTAAGGTCTTTTACTGATTCCATTGGGACGAGCTCCATACATGCACACAACACCTGCACACGCATGCACACACGCATACACACCTGCACACATCCACACACACACACACACACACACACACACACACACACACACACACACACACACACACACACACACACACACACACACACACACACAGGGGCGGACTGGGACTACAAATCAGCCCGGGACTCTCGACTGGCCCACTTCGGTACCGCCGGCCCACTTGAAGACCAGTTTTGACCAAGGTAAACCATGTTAGCATTTCTAGCTACCTAGCTCCACATGTTATGATGTACGCTTTCGTTTATAGCGTCGCAAATGTTTATCACTGAGTGTTGAGGTGGGCACACCCAGATTCTGTGTCTCCAGGAGACCAAAAACGAGTGGTTGGCTGTGCATCTAGGATAAGTAATAAGGGAGTTATTGTGAGTTTAGGTGCCGTTTTAGGTTACATTTTTTCACACGTGGATAATTCAGAGGCTGAGTGTTAGCATTGTGGGGTTTTTTTGGATTTTTTTTTTTAAAGATCAGTTAGCTGAGTTTCTTCCCGTTACATGGATATAAAACATTCATAGTTTATTAAATATTAAGATTCCTTAGACGTTGTTTCCTGCAAATGACGCATTTATCCGCCCGGTACCGGGGGGCCGTGCGTAACAGGTTAATGGGCAGGCGCCATCTTACCTTAAAAAACTCATTATACCCTACTGTCCTACTAGGGCATTGCGTTCCAAGAATGCAGGGTTGTTGGTTGTTCCTAGAGTCTCTAAAAGTACAATGGGAGCCAGAGCCTTTTCGTATCAAGCTCCACTTTTGTGGAATCAGCTTCCAGTTTGTGTTCGGGCGGCAGACAGCCTATCCGTTAAGAGTACGCTTAAGACCTTCCTTTTTGATAAAGCTTATAGTTAGGGCTGATTAGATTCAGCCCCTAGTTTTGCTGCTATAGGCTTAGTCTGTCGGGGGACACCTTACTTCTTCCTTCTCTCTGTCTGTACCTGTGTACTCTCATGTTCCGAATAACCCAGCTTCCCCAAATTTCTTTTTTGGTGTCTATATACGCCGGGATCCGGAGTCATGGCTGATCCTGTTGCTGTGGTCCTGAGTCCTGGATCGCGAGCACTGGATCTTGAGTCGTGGCTGTGCCTGCTGCTGTGGTCCTGGATCATAAGTCCTGGATGGATATCCTCGTGGATTCATCTTATTATTATAGACACATGCATTTCCAAACATTTGGACTACCTATGATGCAAATGTATTATCTTTTCAATTTACACACGGCATCTATTGCAAGTCTGTCCGCCCTGGGAGAGGGATCCCTCCTCTGTTGCTCTCCCTGAGGTTTCTCCCATTTTTCCCTTTAAACTGGGGGTTTTCTCCGGAAGTTTTTCCTTGTACGATGTGAGGGTCTAAGGACAGAGGGTGTCGTATTGTCATACTGATATTCTGTACAAACTGTGAAGTCCACTGAGACAAATGTAACATGTGTGATATTGGGCTATATAAATAAACATTGATTGATTGATTGATTGACACACACACACACACACACACACACACACACACACACACACACACACACACACACACACACACACACACACACACACACACACACACACACACACACACACACACACACACACACACACACATACACGCCCCCCTCCAGAGACCCTGGGTTGGGAAGATCTGCTTTTTAACATACTCTGCCGCCGTTCCGTGGTCCAGCCCCGTCCTGCACTTTTTAACCAGTCTTTTAAAACGGTATTGTCCTCACAGAGCTTTTATAATGCTTTTAAAAGGGTTTTTATAAGGTCTTAGTAGGGCTATGTTTATGGAGTTTTTTAATGTTTTTTTAAACGCCTATTTACCGAGAGCCAGTGCACCACGCAGGGCTCCGGAGGAGCCCTACGCTCTTCCACAACCTAACCCTTCCAACCATTAACAATGGTCATGGTCTTTTGGTCGTGACGGGCTCACCTCAAAGGGGCTTAGACCTCAGGAATGAGCACGGAGAAGAAGCTCTGGCACGTCCTATCCAAGCTCAGACTACAAAAATGTAATGTCTCAATGAGCTTGGGAACGTCTCGGTATTCCTCTGTAAATCTTGCTGGGTAAAGGGCCTGTTTTTCTTACCATTTGAACTACGTGACAAGGCGAGGCATAAGAGGAACCCAGTATTAGTGTGTCTTTCACTAGAACAAAGTGACTCAGCTTGTTTGAGAAGATGAAGATCAAGGCTACTTCCTCTTTAGAAACTACTAAAGCAGCTCCATCCAGCTGAGGATTCAATCGTCCAGCTGACGGATCGAAGTGGGACAGATCGCTGCTCGCTCGCCTACAAACACGTAAGTAATAAAAACATATTCGAGCATAGGACTCACCGTTTGTGTTGTCTTTTAACTGTAATACTTCTTGTATTTTTAGTAAACAACAAGACAATAAGGTGAAGAGAAACGTTTTTTACTTATTTTTCACCTTTCTCCATCAATGTTAGTTCGGTTGATCATATGATGAGTTGTTATAAACATTTCTCCACGTTAGTAAATCTGCTGCTGTTGGGTCTTTGTCTTTCAATGCAAAACAAGGAAGTGCAGCTTCAAAGGCCATGACTGGGTCCTTTTAAAATCTTCAACCCTTCTTATAATGAACCTATTCCTTATATTTCATTTGGATGGTTATTTGAGATAATATATCATTTATTATACATTGGATTTCAACTTAAACCTGGTATTTGATTTCAGTTTTGAGGGAGACTAAACAAATTGAGTTTTGTTTTTTTGACCAACAAACAAACACTAACTTCCTTACTTAAATATTCTCCTTCTCCCGCTCTAGAAAGCATGACCACCACTGCCCTGATCATCCTCACGATTGCTTTTGCCTTTGTTCATGCGATCAATCCACCACCTTGCCGGACGATAAGGAATAACAATGCGTACAACAGCTTTTCTAGAAAACACATCCTTCGGGACCGATTTGACAGAAGGAACTACAATGAATGGGAAAGGTGAGTTAGGTCTTATGACTTATGTGAGTTCAAGTCAGTGTGTTAATTTAATATGGTTTTTAATAAGATCAAGATTCATATTGATATCATGTAAAGTGATAGAATTGTTTTATAACACAACTGCTTTATGAACATGCCTTGTGTTGTACTTTGTCCACGGCATTTACTTTGCAATGATCTCGTTGTGCAGATACATCAGGAACCATGGACTCACCGACAGACCTCTGCAGTCCTTCTTCAGGAGCGGGGATGAGGAAAGAGTCACGGACATCTGTAATGGCAAAGGACAACCGTTAAAAAGAAGTAGATACCGAGCTAACTTATGTATCAGTCACAGAACATTTCTGGTATATCATGTCAAATTGGATCAAAATAACAGGGTTACAAAAGTAAATATTGCCAAACAATTTGTGGTTTTGGCTTGTGATATTGTGGAAAACCAATGCCTTCCCGTTCATTATCAGAAGTACACCAGACAAGTGCCAAACCGGTCAGCTGCACCCTGTCAACCTCGGTAGAGTAGAAACGTTTTTGGCTTACATGAAAACATGTTATTTTGGATATCTGTTACATATTTGAGCCTGGTTATTATAACAAGTTGTTACATTAAGGAGATGACTTGTGATAACCGTATCATATTAAACATATGTTACTGATAATTACATTCAGTTATTCTCAAGTCAGAAACGTTACACTTGTGTGTTTGTTGAAACTAAATGGTCACATGATGTCAAAGTGAATTGGTTTCTCTCTTTATTGAACTGTTGGTTATACTTTTCTGTGATGTGTTAAATTCATAGTATTGTTATTGTGTAAAAAACCCTTAAACTCGTGTTTTTTGTTACATTTTACTACAACATCTTTGTGAAAATGTAATCAAATCCTGAAGTGTTGCTTTGTATATGTGTCAAATAAATTAATTGAAGCAGCATTAATCAATATGTTTTATTTTAACATTGAATGATGTGCTTTTGTGCTATTAAAAGATATTTCCCACCCTTGCAAGTCTTTAGAGTTTCTATTGTATTTGTTTGGACATTTCTATGGTATGGTATTTCTAAAATTCCAACTGTGTATGATAACAGGTAATGATTTCCTTCTCTGATGCTGTTAAGGTGCAGAGTACCTCTTTCTAAAGCTTTGTGAAGACGGTTGCTAATGGAATATTCTAATGAGCTATGGGTGATACACTACAAGTGAGCAATATTTGCAAAGTGTCAGTATGAAACGTAACTACAGCTTATTTCTCTAATACAAAATAAGTACTGCTTGGGTTTCCATCTGTGGCACCTGTGACATCTCTGTTCAACACTTGATGGCAGACTTTCTTCATTTACTGTCTATCATTACTACAGAAGCCTATGTCAAAAAGGTATTTACAATTAGGAACATTATTAACATACTGTCTGCTGCACTTATAAATGGATATACATTTACAATACACATACGCTACTTCTTTCTTTGGGCCTTATGTTTCAGGTTGTTCAAAGATTGATTTAGGTTTAAGGTTTAATGGATATTGTCCATCTATGCAAATACAGCAGCAAGGCTTTTAACTTGCATACGGAAATATGAGCACATTTCCCCCACTTTGGCTTCGCTCCACTGGCTGCCAATACATTTTAGGATTCATTTCAAAATCCTTTTATTTACTTTTAAATCCCTAAATGGCGTTGCCCCATATCTTTCTGAGCTGCTACACCCCAACACGCCCAACCGCCCTCTCAGGTCAGCTGATCAACTGCTCCTGAATGTGAACCAGGTCTAAGCTCTTTTAGATTGTTGCTTTTATTGCTTTTAAATTGTCTATTGTTTTTACTTGTTCTTGTTTTATGGAGTGTGAGCTGTTCTGTGTGACTTTTTGCATGTTTTTGTTTGTTTATTTGACTGTACAGCACTTTGGTCTGGAGGTATTCAAGTGCTTTGTAAATAAAGCTGTATTGTATTGTATCTATATTTTGTTACAAGCAACACTGGTCCCCTAAATAATGATTATATTCTAATGATATGCTTATATGGCACACTGCTTCATTAATGTATAGGTTATTTAACATCTGCATATTAAGCTTCAGTAATAACACCACGAGAGACCATGAGAAAAGAAAGAGGGGATTTACCGTGAGACAAATATTTCTTTCTCGAGGTATCCTTAACAATGTGGTAATGTATTTCCTCTAAAAGCAAGCAGGTTTCATTTCACCACATATCTATATATAATGTAACATGTATCATTTTATCATCATGAGTCTCTTAAATGTTTCTGTCTACTGATGATCAAGTTATGTATTTAATTCCCTTATTCAACATGTCTTAAGATATAAAGTGAGATGACATAGGGTTAGGGATCATTTGTTAATATTAAGGGTTATAGGGCTATTTACTAGATATTTTCAGAGTTTTGTTAAAAAATACATGAATGAAACATGACTGATGTTGTATTTCTTTATGTGCCAAGATCCTTTAAGGGACAGAGTCCAGTGAATCTCTATCTGATACAACTCGAGCCACCTTTGCAAGTTTGAGATAAAGCAGGTGAGTTTTGAATACTGTAATGCAAATAGGTTCGCTAGTATCAAAGTAGCACTTCTTGACATTTGAATAAATGGGAACTTCTCCACGTCTTTATTTCTCGCTCCATGTGTCTTCCTCTGATGCATTATCAGGCAGGTTAGACATCTCAGTTGAGAGGTTGTTGCAATGAGATGGAGCTTTTAATTGAAATGCACAACACTCAATATATTAAGATATTCAGGAAACAGAAAACAAGAAATTCACTGTCAACTTTGCAGCATAATGAATTTAATAAAGCAATGATTGAAGAAGACATTTTTAGTCTTGATTTTATGATTCTATGAGCAACAGCTATGTGTTTCATTACATTTGAACATGTCATGGTGTTAGATATTTAGGGAGCTTAGAATTGTTCAGCCACCCCTAAGCAGAAAGTGCGACAGAGATACATATTCTCACATTTCAGTGACCAGAAAACCACTGAAGGTTGTATGATGGTCAGTCCCCCAAACATAGGAGTTTTCAGCCAAAACCACATACACCTGGTCTCCTTGCTTCAGCTGCAGGAACACTGCGTTTCCTCCATTATCAGCTGTGTCTGAGCTCGACCCGTGATCACTGGTCGCGAGCATTAGTTGATTGTTTTTGTAAAGAAGTAAGTTGGTGCCATGAGTCAATCCAGCATGAAAGAAAATGGTAAAGTAATAAACACCTGGCACTGGGGCAAAGAAGACACCTGTGGAAACAACAGGGTGCTGGTCATATTTATTTTTTAAGAAGTCAAATCACAAATTACCATTAACCACTTTATGTTATTCTATTTATTTTATTGCCTCAGTAAAAATATATATTATGAGACAGGAAGTCAGTTTGGCTATTGAAAGTAAATAAGTAACTGGGTTTTACCTGTGAATGGACTGTAGGCTCCACCAATGTTTGTAATCACGGTTCTGTAGATTAAAGTGATGTCTGTGTTGAAGGGTCCAATGTGAGTTCCTCCTCCTCCTGTTGCTGCACTGAATATCACGTTGGTTCTTTCTGCGTAATACAAAACATGCTGATCACACATATTTGCGGGTTCTCACGAAAAACTAGTCAAAGAGTCATTCATTTCTATATTACAGAGACTTTTTAATGGATGGTTTACCTTTGTTCTTCAGTTCAAGAATCTGGGTTTCACTCTCCTTCAGCCTGGTTTCCATAGCTCCAAATGTTTCTCTCATAGCACCAAACTCTCTCAGGAGATCCCCCCTGTCAGGATCGCATGACAGTGTTTCATTGGCGTTACCATCATCCTGGGCCAAAGTGAAGCCGCTCAACAGCAACACAAACAATACATTGGTCAAACTCATGTTGTTGATTCACGACCGCTCTGTTACAAACTCTGACTGATGACATCCCTTTTTATGTTGTTTAAAGAATACCTGTTAAATTTTAACATCCCATTCTACAAGTTGCTTTATTATCCTATTGTAAAGCAGTTGATAAGAGACGAGGAAATAATAATGTAAAATTATATGGGGGTCAAAGTTAAAAAATGTCTCAGTTTTACAATGATCTTACAAAACAGGTTTATTTGTATTGCACCTTTCAACAACATGGCAATTCAAAGGGCTTTGTGTTAGGATTTAAAGACAATATTGTAAAAAAGAAACAAAAGGCAACCAAATATATCACCAAAATCATATAACATTATTCTTCCAATCATCAAAATGTATACCAAATGTGACAGGAGTGTCAATATGTTTCTAATTAAAGATGTCCAAGCTGTCTCAACTGAGGTAGGACAAAGAACTTTCGATTTAGTTCTAAATACACAAATGAAAAACCTGTCCAATTCTCTTTTTCAGTCAGTGTCTGTTTTCCTGATGGGATGAGTGGGTCCGTGTACATTTGATGGGTAGTCAATTGAAGTAATTTCAGAGTTACAAAAAAATAATAAACCTGTTATTTGATCTATTTGTGTACTTTTGGCAATTCTTCCATTTTGAATTTAGTTCAATAAACATACTTTTAAAATAACCCTAACCCTAATTCAACATGTTTTACGGTATACGGTGAGAAAATAGGGTTAGGGATTATTTATTTAGGGTTATAGAGTTATTTTCTAGATATTTCAACGGGTTTTGAAAAAATAAAATAAAACATGATTGATGTTGTATTTCTTTATGTGCCAAGATCCTTTAAGGGACAGTGTCCAGTGAATCTCTATGTGATACAACTCGAGCCACCTTTGTAAGTTTGAGATGACGCAGGTGAGTTTTGAAAACTGTTATGCAAATAGGTTCGCTAGTATCAAAGTAGCACTTCTTGACATTTGAATAAATGGGACCTTCTCCACGTCTTTATTTCTCGCTCCATGTGTCTTCCATTGATGCATTATCAGGCAGGTTAGACATCTAAGTTGAGAGGTTGTTGCAATGAGATGGAGCTTTGAATTGAAAGGCACAACACTCAATATAATATATATAATGCTTGGCATTGGCAGAGGAGACTAGTCCCATTTTTCATGGGCGCAACCCACATACTCAGCTCTGCTGCTCATCCCACAAATGCTTGTTCCTCACAAATGTGACACCATTTGAAACGTAAATAAAAAGTCTTTCCAACGGCATAAGATTTATTGCCAAGAAGCATTGCTACAACAAATAAATAACCAACCAAACACAGATTTCTTTACTTTTTGTGTTAAGTTTATTAAGATATTCAGGAAAAAGAAAACTTCACTGTCAACTTTGCAGCATAATAAATTGAATAAAGCAATGATTGAAGAAGACATTTTTAGAATACCTTTTATGATTTTATGAGCAACAGCTTTGTGTTTCATTACATTTCAACATTTCATGGTGATAGATATTCAGTTCATAGAGAGCTCTGATCTTTTTCAGCCAACCTCAAGCAGAAATGACAACAGAGATATATACATACTCTCACATTTCAGTGACCAGAAAACCACTGAAGGTTGTATGATAGTCAGTTCCCCAAACAACTGTGTTCGCAACCAGGCGCACATACACCTGGTCTCCTTGCTCCAGCTGCATGAACACTGCGTTTCCTCCATTATCAGCTGAGTCCCATTATGAACCGTGATCATGGGTCATGACCACTAAGACATTGTTCATGTAGAGCTTCAACATTTTGCCACATCTCCCTCCAGCATGATAGAAGATGGTAAAGTAATAAACACCTGCAACCGGGGCAAAGAAGATACCTGTGGAAACAACAGAGTGTTGGTCACATTAATTTTGATTAAAAAGTCAAATAACAAACCTTTAGTGGTCTTAAGCACTTAATTGTTTTGCCTACCAACCAAATACACCAAAAAGAAGTTAGTGGTTAGTACAGTTTCAGCACATTCTTAGACCTCTGTTTTATCAAACAGGATAGAAGAAGGGTTTTTTGTTTTTTGTTCTTGTTTAAGCATATCAGGTGGAATTAAGCAGCATGCAGACGACTGAGTTTTACCTGTGTCTGGACTGTAGGCGGCTCCAATGTTTGTGATCTCCTTTCTGTAGATTAAAGTTGTGTCAGTGTTGAAGGGTCCAATATTTTTTCCTCCTCCTCCTGTTGCTGCACTGAATACGACCGTCTTCTTTTCTGTACAAAGCAAAACATTGGAATCTTATTATTATTATTGTAATTATTATTTTGTGCAGTATTTACTTATTTTGTTAATCACCCAACATTATTTTACACTGATACCTTTTAATCGTAAAGTTTGACTTTACCTTTGTTCAGTTCAAGAATCTGGGTTTCACTATCTTCCATCCTGGTCTCCATAACTCTTAATTTCGCACTTACTGCACCAAACTCTCTCAGGAGGTCACACATGTCAGGAGAGCATTCCTGTATTAATATAGTAGTATTACCATCATCCTGGGCTGAAATCAGGCCGCAAAACAGCGACACAATCAGTAAAATGGTCAAACTCATCTTCAAGTTGATACAAAGTCGCTCAGTCCTCGAACTCTGAATGACGTGATCCCTCTGACTGCTTTTATATTGTCTAGAAACCTGTTAATGTTTAAAATCAACTTTGAAACAAAGTTTTTTGCAATAAAAAAACCCTATTAACAACATGTTCTAGCAATCAGTTAATTACTGACATCCTAGAGAAAGATTAACAGAATTATGTTTCAAATATTAACTGTTTTCAAAGTAACCCTGCAACGATGCATGTGTTTCAAAGGCAGACGCAGAGCACCAAGAAATAAAGTGAATCCCTTTCCATGCTTTCTTTAGAAACAATGAAATGAGTAGGGATAGCAGAAATGATTTACAATAGAAGGAACTGCCTATGTTGATTTTAAAGTCAAGTACTAAATAATACATTATATATATTATTTTTTTTACCAAATATACACCTCTGACACCTCGCTTTCTTGCCAGAAGGCTTTGTTTTCATCTAAATTATTGACTGGAGCTACACTGGAATTTTCTAGCCAAGCAACAAGGAATGAGGATATAACAAATGATCAAGTCAACAATAATTTATCTTTTACTCATCACTTTTCTTTCTTGGCATTACACTTTGTTTTTTTCTAGCCAGGCAACAAGGAAGGAGGATGTAGTTTATCATGTAACTCACAATCATTGATTTTAATCTTTGATACTACAATGACAAACTATGGTGCTAAAACTTTCGAGGCTGTCTGAATGAATGCAAATGTTTATGGGTTTGGTTAATATACTTATTCTGTTCCTGGAGCTTAGAGTCGATCTCTTGTTCTTCTTGTTGCAGGTTTCCTAAATAATGTTGCTGGGACTATTGAAATACTTGCTTCGTGTTCTAACGTCTAAGAGGCTGAAAATGTATTGTGGTATGGTGCAAGATTAGTGGCAAAAGACCAAAATAAGCTAATAGTAGAGTTAATATTAAACTTGCTGATATTGTGATTTGTGTCACATAGATAATAGGCGCTGTGGAGATGCACCTGTGTATGACACGTGTTGTTTTAGGGTTATAGACATGTTATATAGTTACATTTGAAAACATATTGAAGAATGTTTTAATTTTAATTTTAATTTAAAGGTAAAAAAGAAAGAAAATTCAAATTTGAAACTTCTATCACACGCTTTTTTTTTTACACATTAATACATTATTGTATGTTGAAACATTAACAACTAAAACCTTTCTTACTTATATATTTATCGTTCTCCCGCTCTAGAAAAGATGAACATCGCTGTCTTTATCATCTTCATGTCCACTCTTGCCCTTGTTGATGGTTTAACTCCTTCATATTGTGAAATGGTACAAGATCCGCACGACAGATTTCTTTGCAAACACGTCCTTCAGGAGAGCATTGGTGACAAAACAGATAAGGCTGACTGGGAAAGGTGAGTTAAATGGTTAAGTCAATATGTTTATTTAGAAATGCATTTGCATAAGATGGAGATTCATATTCACTACATTTAAAGGCAGGACTGTTTCATTTAGGTACCACACTACTGATTATGTCAATGACTTTATCAATGCTATTTACTCTTCAGTGAAACAATAAATCTTGTTTATACAGGTACATAGAGAAGTATGGCCTCTGCCGGAGACCAAGTCAGACCTTCATGTTGAAAGACACTGTCAAAAAGATCTGTCAAGGCTATGAAAACCATACGGTCTATACATGTAGTGAAGTCAATCCGAATAACCAAATGACTATATGTACCAGTAACTCACCCATCACCCTTTACAAGGTCCAAGTCGACACCAGCACCTGCAGGGTTACACATCTAACCCGAAAACAACTCTATGGGATTGTGGGCTGTCAGAATGTTAATAACCTATGCCTTCCTGTCCATTTTGATCGGACGGAGAATATCAGGCTAGACTGGAAAGGTCAACCCTGTCGTTAGAGTTTAACGACAGGGTTAAACTCTAACGACAGAGGGGTTAGAAGACATTGGATTCCAGTTCTAAACCTCTGTCAAGCTTAGCTTAATTAGGCCTCTTTTGCTTACACGAAAACATGTTATGATGTTCTTATGCTGCATTATAACACCTGTTACTTATTGACCTCGGTCATTATAACTTGTGGCTACATGGCATTAACAATTTAATCAGAAAACTGTACACACACCTGTTTGTTGAAAGTTTATCGTCATCTTACCTCAAAGTAAATTGGTTGATTGTGTATATTAAACTGTTGGTTATCATCTTTTGTGATGTGTCAATTCAGATAATTGTCAGTCTGTGAAAACCTGTCAAACTAGACTAAGCGTTATTTGACCAAAAAAGGTCACATATCAAAAGATCTACCAAGCACCATCAAAAGTTTCTTTTCTAAGAGTTTAATATTCCCTACAATTGTGTGTACTTCCTCTGTTACTGAAAATGTTTGTGAAGCTGTATTCAAATCCTGTTTGTGTTGCTTTAAATATTGTCAAATAAATGGCTT